TGATATTGTTCATGAGACCCTTCATTTTATCCCAAGTCCCAAGAGCATCGGGCAAGTTATCAAAGTTTATGTGATCACTGACATCCACTTTCCATAAATCTGCACTTGGAAGAGCTGTGAAAGGTGTACAAGATTCAGGAATGGCAGCACCTAGTTTGAAGCCCTTTGAATGTGACCGGTGATGCTGTTTCATTTTCTTACTGGCACTTTCCAGTGTGTCGCTGCTCAAGGAATTCTCAGATTCACTTGGGTCGCTGGACATCCTATTGGATGTTCTACTTTCCTCAGAAGTTTCAGCGGCTTCACTCTTGACGTCTGTTTTGCTGCTCCTGTCTTTCGTTGGTGTGGGATTTTCTTCTTTCTTTGATTTTTGTTCGTCTGTTGCACCTTGTGATGCAGCATCCTCCAGTTCTCTAAGGATCTTGAGTCTCTTCTCCTCCAGATCTCCTAAGGATGCTTGTGAATCTTCACTAATTTCACCTTCTTCCATGTCCTGAAATAATACACAATGAGCACATTTATAGTTTTGTAAAAAGTTTAGGCAAGTATCTCATTCATTCAATCTTTCAAAGGCTGGGACCTTCCATTCAACATTTACTTAAATCTATTATTAATGAAACTTCTTGACCAGCCTTCAAAACCTCATCATCAAAGTAGGCACATCTAAATTTCAAAAGTTTCTAATGTGCAGTCCACAAATAATTTTAGCTGTAAGTTTACTTTTTACAGAAATATCTATCACAGTGATTTAGAAGTAACTGTGACACAAAAGGAGCTGAGAATTTGATTTTTTTACCTTTTCCTCTGGAGGCGGAGGAGGCGGTTCTGGAAGATCATCTGGAGGTGGTGGTGGCAGAGGCTCACTGGGAAGTGGAGGGTTGAACTCTATGTGGGCAGATCTATTTAACTCTGAGTCTGTCAAGAAAATATTTGAATAACATATTAGTTGTGCTGGTTTATTTCTTCAGCAAAACTGACAAAGCAAAGTTCAAAGCCAATGTATATTTCTTCCAAACTCTGGGAACATCTAATGTAATTCTTACCATCAACTTCCATTTCTGCTGCAAGTACAGCATCAGCCTCACTTGTATTATTGCCTTTTAAGCTGCTAGATTTTAGTTTCTTCTTCTTGTAAGCCTGGGCTCTGTTCATGTTCATGTACTTTAGAAACTCTGTGCGTTGGTGATAAGGCTGCATGGGAGGGCAGTTGTAAAGGTGCCCTTCCTGCAACAAAGAGTCTTTGTTTTAGACATACTAAGTTAGTAAGATTTGAAAATTTATTCATGCCGTCATTTTCATATAGATCACTTTGATGTAAAATAAGTTGCTAAGTCTACACAGCATATCAAAAGAGCTTACACACCTCTCTGGTTCTATGAGGCATTGCATCATTAAATCCTGGAAAGCTAACTAGTTTCTCTGGTTTGTATTTTACGAGAACTGGGTCTGTCTCTCCGTCTTCTAAGTCTGGGTGTGATACAGCTGCCAAAGAAAATATATATATCTATTAAAAAATAGGATTAACGTGATATTTTTTTACAGTTCTAAATTGTTATATAATAATCATAACGCAATATCTACATGACCATCAGTACATACTGATACAATATACATTCCATATTAACTGAAAAAACAATCCCTGAAGACTATAATTCTGAAAGAATATAATCACTAAAACATAACCAAATCAAAATTCAGGAAATTAACTACTTCACAGCTAAGAACACTCCTGAAGATTGCTGAATATAATATATATTCATATACAAGGACAAGCCATCTCCCTGGAGTCTACTTACACTTCCCTGTGGCATCATATAGCTTCATGTCTGCCTGATGGACTTCAGCATCCCTTAGCCATCCTGGGGGATAGCCAAGCACCCGCATCCGGTATACAAAAATGGGTAGCTGATTTGGCCGCAGCCCTAAGGCATAACGAAGGTTTTCACTCAACTTCCCAGGCTGGAAGTGCCCAAATTTATTTTCCCCATCTTCATGATACCTCCTGATGTGAGAGAAAATAACAGCATCAGAAGAAGAACAAGAACAAAAAAAAAAAAAAAAAAAATATATATATATGGACAGAGATGATTAGGTGAAATTCCACTCCAAATACAAAGTCATATTTCAATAGTGCTAAACTACACACATATTCCTTTCCAAAACTACAAAGTGCAAACATCCATTTCTCTTACACATTTGGCACTCTCGTGACATTGTGTTTCTTTCTGTTAGCAGCAATCCTCTGCATATCTTGAGGCTTTGGACAATCACTGACATTGTGGTCTCCAAGACAATTGAAACAGCACATCTTAGGCAAGGCATCATTGATTTTCTTCCCAGTTTCCATGTTATATTCTACATCAGTGAGGATTCCGGTAAAACTCTGTAATAAGAAGGGGTGCTTATATATGCATATTGATCTGCACATACTACTTAAAACCAAAATGTACATATTAACAGTTTTATTATCAAACAGGTATATTTTTTTCCTCCCTTCTCTGGACAGGAATCCTATACCAACAGATATGAAAACAGAAACACCTGCAAAACTCACAGCATCATATGAAGGGACAATATCTAGCCTGGACACAGGACCTACTGAGCACTCTTCTTCATCACCCTCCATGTCAAGACTTATTCCTTCTGGCATAGTAACCTCTGCAATTAAAATAGAAATTCAAAGTGTTGGGAATGAGAATGAGCAGAAGGAGAGAGAGGAAAAGAAAAATATATACAAAAAATGTTGCACACCAGATTTGTGATTTAACATCATAGATACACAATCATTCATATATCATCTCCCTTTAAAAACCTTTCATTTCTTTTATATTTCATTCTTTATCTAAGAGCAAATAAATTTAGACCCCCCCAGTTAATTCAATGTACATAAAAATTAAGTAAGAGTCTTAATAGATGCTAAATCACAAGCTTATTCAATATGAAAAAAATCTACCACAGCCTACATGACTTACCTTCCTCTTGTATGTCTTCCACGATGTCATCGGCAGTTGCGTCAATAGTAAACATGCCATTTGGTGACCCTGCAATATCATTGTCTGTGCCCTGCATGTCCCCTTTTCTGCTTGAGGAATCTACTAAATAAACAAGAGCAATAGGCAATGAGGCTCTATACCTTCTGTAATTTCCATTCGTAGATTTATAAACAAAAACAATCCACTTTTAAAGTTTGATTATGTGATTATTTAAGAATTTTCAATGGATAATATAACTTGAATTCATAACTTATTTGATAAATTAGAAAATGAATCTAGCGTGTAGATCATTGGATTTTGTTGTGATCTTATGTACAAGATGCACATTAACTAATAGATATTTCTGAAAAATTGAAATAATAATGGCATACATTTTCTGGCTTAAAAGGAAATCACGCTGCTACAAATAAAAAAGTACTGCTCTGTCTGATCACTTTGATTTTACATGATGCTATTAGCAGCTGTGCTATGTCTAAAAATGTTAAAGAGGTATGCAGCAACACATCTGATCATGATTTGCAATCAGCTTTCAGATTTTTATAGTTGAGGATTAATGGTGTAATTCATGATGAGATCAATGCTTATGTAATATTTTTCAATAAGAAAAACTGATGTGAAAACTTGAAAGACCCACCATCTGCTATCCCTTGAATTTCTTCTATACTGCTATCTACAGTTGAATCAAGTGTAAACATGCTGCTTGAGGATGCAGTAACACCTTTGCTTGTGTTTTGCATGTCTTCTTTCATACCAGAGGAATCTGCTGAAGTAAATAATGGGTTGTTAGTGTCGTGTTCATTTTAAAGTAATTTGGTAACTTATTGATGTAATTTGTTACAGATGGAAAGATTTGATCACAGTCGCAGTTTCTGGTTACACAATGATGTCCCCATTCGTAGAGTTTTAATTTATATTTCGTGCAAATAAGGAACCTGATTTGACTGGCTCAAATTTAACTGGACTGCATGACTCAAAACTATATTCCTAAATATAAATATAAACATATACGCACCAAATCTTTGAAGACTTACCTTGTGTAATCTCTTGGATATCTTCCACACTACTATTTGCAGTTGTGTCAAGAGTGATAATGTTATTTGAGGATGTATCTTTTGTTGAGTTTGTGTCTTGCATGCATTCATTTATACCAGAAGTACCTGCTAAAATAAAAATACTGAGTTTGAAAAGTCTCATAACTTCAACTATTATGATTTACAACATAACTATTATGACCAGATGGTAATAAACTTTGATTATTCAGCAAGAATCGGTAATGCCAACAATCAGATTTCTATAAATATAACAAATGTAATAAAACACCTACCATGCACAATATCTGCCTTAGTAAACTTAAACTTTGGGACATACCAAATATGCCATTATTGAAAATCAGACTAAAACATAACCCACTGGCCAAAGATACACATACTGTCCAGTGTAATTTTTGTAAATTTGCACATAAATGGCTCTGCAACTGCTAAGTTAATTGGTAGGCCCTACATAACCTCATCTATTTTCCTCATTCCTTGAGTTTTCAGGAAAAAAGCTTCTTTTTAATGCTATAGATATTGAGCATCACAATCATAATTGTGAAAATCACGGAAAAGGGTAAACAGGTGAGACAGGCAGGTATTGTAATTGACTCCTTGGTGACAAACTACTTGTTGAGCCATCACTGTGTAAACACAACTGATAAAACTAAAATTGCGAATGGAAATGGCATGTAAGTCATGCCATCCTAACACACTGATTACCAACCTACCTTGTGTGATTAGCTGAACTTCCTCCGCACAGCTATTAGCAGTTGAGTCAAGAGTGATCCCGCCACTTGCAGATGCAACAGCATCATTGTTTTTGTCCTGTACATCACTTTCCATGCTTGAGGAATCTGCTAAATAAATATCATCAGTCTGAGTGACAACATGTGCCTGTAAGTGTTAAAGTGGTTTTCTCGATCATTGTTTTCATTCTAAATATCATGAACAGATATTAAACTTTACTTATACTGTATAGCTAGACAGATTTCTATAATAGTGTTAGGCAAAAAAAAGTATCATAAAACAAAATAACCACTATCTTTAACCTAAGAATAAACTTAATATGCATTATTAAAAATCAGACTAAAATTTAGCAATCTACCTTGTGTGATGAACTGAACTTCTTCCACACTGCTATTAGCAGTTGAGTCAAGAGATATCACATCACTTGCAGTTGCAACATCACTGCTTTTGTTCTCCACATCAGTTTTCATACTTGAAGAATCTGCTAAATAAATATCATGTAAGTCTGAGTGACATGTATCTGGAAGTCTTAAAGTCATCTTCATTCATGAAGATACATGAAAACTCAAATACCATATCTTTCAAATCATTTTTAAATTTTAAAGATACATACCACAGCTGCTATTATCTAGTGTAATAACACTTGAATCTGCTGTGGAGTCCAGAGTTATGATTTCTGACAGAGATGATACAGTGTGATCTCTATCAGGCACATTTCTTTCACTGCTTTCTACTGAAATTTAGGAAGCCTATGTAATATATAAAATATATAAGGCAATAAAGCATAAAGGCTTGCTATTACTAGAATAATCGATAGTGGTTTCATTCAGTGATTAGAAGGTGAGCTGTGAATGATGTCAAGTGATTACAAATTCTTTCATTGAGAAAGCTATGACATACCATCTACAGCAGGTACTTCCTTGACACTGGAGTCTTCATCATTCCCAGTTCTTTCTCCTGCCAGACTTTCACTTTTTTGTTTTGCTGGGGGGAAAAAAGGTTAATTTTTCACTTTTTTGTTTTGCTGGGGGGAAAAAAGGTTAATTTTCACAAAGTAACACTTGAAGACTAAGACTACAGTTTCTTTACAATATCACATCACATGTAAGTTGCACAAAATAATGATGATATGTGTATGTGGCAAGGAATAACTTGTCAAGAAATAAAATATTCACCATAGCTGGAAGTTTCACTCCCACCACAGCCTTCCATTGTATTTGTAAGGGTTTAAAATCAAGCAGAAAACAGCAGCCCTCTGTTCTTCTTTCACTGAAATATGATAATGCCAAACTCATTAACATGCAGCCCACTAATAGCAACAAAAATAAAGTGCACAATAATTTAATCCTGAGTTATCCCTAAAATACCTCATTACCTACTGGGTCTATTACCACTGTTATCTTCCAAAACCTAGTACCAGATCAAACTGTTATACATGCACACTAGAATAAGGAATCTGTTAATACGAAAGACAATCTCAAGAGGCATACTATTCCAAGAAAATAACCTGCAATTTCCCTGGTAAGTCTCATACCTCCCTAACTATTAAGGCAAGATGATAAATACAAGACTCAATGCAATGCATCTTATGCTGTGTTCGGAACTCTTTGTCTTGCTCATACAGACAAGTTGAACAAGATGTTTTGACTATTCAGAACCTCTTCTTTCTCATCCTGGACAAGTTGTCCATCTCATCCGTCTCGCCCTCTTTCCCAGCCGGGCAAGCAGGACAATATGACGTTACAATAGCATTTGTAAGTAAACAATGACAGTTGAGGGCAACCTTTAGATATTAATAGGTAATTTTATTACCTACAATTGATGTCATCAAAAGATATTTTTGTGTTTGTCAGTTGAAAATAATCTAAATATGCATCAAAGGAGCTACAAAACCTATGCAGCATGTATAATACGGACACCAGTATGATGAAATAGTGAATGTTTTCATTCGAACTGCTTGCATTGTGGGCAGAAAGGTTCTTGGAGGTTCCGAACGCGGCATCGTTGTCCTGCTGGTCCTGCTGGTTGTCTGGACGAGCAAGACGAGGAGTTCCTAACGCAGCATTATATGTATAACTATAAATTAAAAAGTCTCTGTACGATCAGCGATGCGGCCCTTTATTAATAAGAATTATCCCCTACCTATGAAATATCTTCGAGGGGTATAACACTGATATAACAGAACCCAAATATATCATATAATAATATACTTTAATTACAAGTAAATCCGTCATAGTATCTTGTCAAAATTATACGCTTTACTTCGAAACACCGAACTTCCTCCACTAAGCAATTACACTAATAATTTGACCACCTTAAGCTCTCGTATGGCACAGCTCCTATCATAGGATTCATCAAATAGACCTACCATCTTCCAAAACCCCGCAAATCCTCGCAAAACAGATAAAATAGGCGAGAATGTCCGAATCCTACTGTCTCTTGTCAAAATGTTTTTAACGCTGGCATTCACAATTCCTTGAATTAAATCCTATACATTTTTTTTGTGTGAGACGATATAAAAATACTTAATTCTATATAAAATATCTATATTTCGACCGGATTATGGCTACTTAGTACTTAAAATGCACTAAAATGTTTTTAAAATATCATAAAATTCACTAAATCTTAGGTATTTTTTTCCCACTCGAATGCCCGCATCGTTTGTAGTGTGGATTGTCTGTGAATCCCACGTAAGTTTTGACGAATTGTCGTATTTTACCGTTTTTCTTAGATTGCGGACAATATATTAAGGAGAAAAAATCATTTATGTGAGACTCGTGCATGTAGTTATGAGGGAAGAGGTGAAATCGGCTGTGAAACATAGTATAAAAGGATGAATTAAAGTTTTATTCTGATACTCCAGGGTACGGATGGTCATGCCGGGATCTTGTGGTTTATGTTATTGGTTTAATTTATGGCTTTATGTTGGGTTTTGTGGTTTAGCATTATGGTTTTTGTCGTCTTAAGAGTGATTTTTGGATGGTATTATTTTTAGTTTGATATCCGATCGACTTGTTTATAGGGAAAGGTTTTTGAATGTTCAGAGTAGGATTGTCTTGAAGATAACGAAGAGGGAAGTAATAACCATAATAATAAAAAAAAAAAAAAAATCATAAACCAACTGTATGAGAATTTGAAAAAAATAAGCTTGCTGAAAGATAGGGATTATCATTTATCAACGTCTGTGAGTCTATGGTCGTGTGTTAGTTGAGGAACGGTCTGGCTTCTGCACTTTGCATCCTCTAGATCTGTTGGTGCTTTGACAAGGGCCAACAAACCTCTGTTTTGTATATAATGTGGAAAAACAGAGCATGAAGATCGAGGCAGTGCTATCCTAGTAACCCTTCATTGTACATTATTTGATGGGGAATAATTGTAAAACATGTTTTCTTTTTATTAAAAATCAGAATTTACAAAGTGATAAATATAAAAAGATATTTATAGTAGTGTAATGTGTATTATATTATTCTAAAAATTTTCACATGATGAAAATTTGTAAAATTTTAGTACACATTTACCATATCTTTGTGGGTTATTAACTAAATTTAAAATATATATGATAAATTAATTGATAAAAAGTACAAATTATTTTCTAATTGATATTGTAAAGTGTTTAATTTCCATGAAACCTATGTAGGGTTACTTTTTATAACTTGACATGTCTACTTATTTTCATATTTCAGGCTGTAGACCAGGGACTTCAAAATGGATTTTCAGCATCGAGCGGGAGGGAAGACCGGAGGCGGTGGTCAGGCCTCTTGGTCGGAGAGCAACAGAGACCGTCGTGAACGTCTCCGCCAGCTTGCCTTAGAGACGATTGACCTCAACAAAGATCCTTATTTTATGAAAAACCACCTTGGGTCATATGAGTGCAAATTGTGTCTGACTCTCCATAACAATGAGGGAAGTTACTTGGCTCACACACAGGGAAAGAAGCATCAGACCAACCTGGCCAGACGTGCAGCAAAGGAAGCTAAAGAAGCCCCTGCTCAGCCAGCCCCAGAGAAGCCTAGGGTGGAAATGAAAAAGTTTGTCAAGATCGGTCGGCCAGGTTATCGTGTCACGAAACAGAGAGACCCAGAAACAGGACAGCAAAGTCTGCTCTTCCAGATTGACTATCCAGAAATAGCAGATAATGTGGCTCCACGTCACCGCTTCATGTCTGCTTACGAGCAGAAAGTGGAGCCTCCAGATCGCAAATGGCAGTACCTCCTTTTTGCAGCTGAGCCTTATGAAACTATAGCCTTCAAAGTACCCAGCAGAGAGGTTGATAAATCATGGACAACCTGGAATAAAGAGACAAAACAATTTTTCTTGCAGTTTGCCTTCAAGATTGATCCAAAGGCCAAGATGGTTCCTCCTGCTCCACCACCCATTGCTGGCCCGCCTGGTCCACCAGGACCTCCCGGCCCACCAGGACCACCTGGACCTCCAGGTATGCCCCCTCCACCAGGGCTGCCTCCACGGCCAGCCATGATGCCCCCGGGCCCACCTCCTCCGGGCATGCCTCCTCCCCCGGGCCCACCAGGAATGCCTCCCCCACCCCCAATGAGGCCTCCAATGAGACCCATGATGCCCCCTCCCCCAGGCCCTCCTGGGCCTCATGGTCCTCATGGAATGCGGCCACCTCCTCCTGGCATGGGTCCTCCACCTGGCATGCGAGGCCCTCCTCCTCCACCTGGGGGCAACCTCCCTCCACCTCCACCACCATTCAATCCTGTACCCCCTCCTCCTCCATCAGGTGGAGTGCCTCCTCCACCACCACCCAAAAATTAATAGGAGTATGGAGTTTGAACTTATATCATTTATATTATCATTACATTAATAAGTTGAATATAGTTTTGAAAATCACTTTTGAGCAAAACAATTTATGTTTGAAAAGACTGTGTACATTTGAATTTTGTTCTCTTTTCTTTTTTTATATTATAGTAAGTATTTGTATTACTATGATTACTGTATGTACAACTATTTTAAAGTCTATGTGCAGAATTATAAAACAGACTGAATAACAATGAATTTCTTTAACCTTGCATCTTGTGCAGTATATTATTTAAAGAATGATTTCATTAACAAAAATGTGTAAGAGAGTAATCAGTGTTTCAAGGAGTGTGTAAATGTAAGGGGAGATGTTCTTACTTAAGTAACCATTTTTACTATAGTGAGTAAGAATGCTGTCTGCTAATTATATTGTCTTCATTTTCCTCTTGACATACATTATTTTTTGAGGGGTGGACTGTCAGTATCTGTTGACTGCTGCTAGTTCACACAGTTCATTTAACTTTATAACTTGATTATTAACATATTCAAAAACACAGATACAGATAATTGTAGATAACCAAGTAATTTTAATAAACCACCTATATGGATGGTATATGGTTATTATAAAGCTTGTAGTGCTGGTGAGGCAATATGATGTTCTTTGTATATTGCAGTATTCTTTCAAATTATTCTAAGCATGTGGTAAAGTAACAAACATTTTCCACTAATGTACCTTTACATTGTATATACATAAATACATATATAGAACTATCAGACTTGAAACTTTGCTGTGCACTCTTCTGTACGGTTTGGAAATTGGCTTTGCAAGAAAAAAGTTGTAGCCAAGCTTCTTAGCACACAATTTTTTTTTTATAAAAAAGATATCTTTGCAATTGATGATTAGGATTCTTCACCAACCACAGTGTGAGGAACTAAGGGGGAGCAAATTTATACACAACAAAGTTCCATCATTTCAGGTGTCCCAAGAAATAGATACAGATTATTATTTTTTAAATTATTATTGCTTTTCAGTAGTAAAGAATTCATGTAACTTCAACTACTTTTATAATGTTTTAAACTGTTTTCCATGAATATGATTTTAATATACAAACTATGGCAAGCAGATTAGAACAAACATTTAAATGCTTACCAATGCCTTTACCTTTCATCCAGATATACATTTACATAAAGTCTTGAATGTTTTTTATTTTATTTTATTTTTGGAAGGATGTAAAAAACAATTTTTTGGCATTTTTCTTTATTTGTATGGATTGTGGGACTTTCCAAATTGTCAAAAAATACAAATTTTTGGGTTATTCATACCTTATAAAAATACACAAAGGAGAAAATTCATAACAATTGAGATAATAAAATGAGCTGTTAAATGATAAATCAAATGTAGATGCCCAAAATACATGTAACAGGAAAATATCACATAAATGACATTTATTTTCCTGATTTACTGTTACCAGAGTGTGTATGCATTTATTTATCATAATTACAAGATATGGAAAATTACTAGGACAGTTAATTACTCCAAATTTACTCACTCTCTTCATAAGCTGGAATGATGGTGCTTTTATCTTAATTGAAAGTATTGCTTAACAGACTGCACCTAGCAATGATCCAAGGCAGTGTTCGCTCCACCAAAAGACAAATGCAAGTAAGCTGAGGCTTATCATTATATCATTTTACTTATGGCGGTTCGTCTTCAAGCCATGGCATTAGCCTTTCATTAGAAGTAGATGACCAAAACCAAAGGAAAGACTAAAATATTGCTTTCTAATATTACAAATGAGATTCCAACACTTAAGAAAATAATAATACAGTGAAACCACTTTATAGCACCAGAAATATTGCCAGAATCATAGTTTCATTTATATAGAACAAAAAAGAAGAAAAATGTGTGAATTCAACATTTGTACTGTGTTATTTGAAAACCCAGATGACCAATAATGCACAAGACATTCTCTTATTAAACCGTACACAGAGAGCTAACGATTGCCAATTACACTACTTGTACTACCAAAACTACTGCTGTTGATGCAGTGCATGTGTTAATATTGCTAACAAGCTAAAAACCCTTCTTTTGACTTATCCCTTTTTAGACACATGACTTATAAGGGTATAGAAGGAAAGAAACTTGATTTTATCATTCTGTAAATACAATCGAGATTGAGAACCAGAGCTTGGACAACCTGTATTGTGGAAAGTACTATAACCTGGTTTTACTGCACATAGTAGCAAAAAGTGTAAAAGCAACAATACTGAATGCAGTATCAAATAAAATACAGATGCACAGACAATGAAATAATACTTAAAGCAACAACTATGTAATATCAGCACTGCCTCCATGGAGAAACATAATTTGACATTACTAGGAATGATAAGTCAAATCAATAATAATAAAATAAAAAATAATGATAATGATTATTGATGGTGATAATGATGATGACTGATAATGATAAAACTATAATAAAAATGAAATGAAAATGACAATAATGATGTTGACTATAATGGCTGGTAATGAAAACTTCAAAAGTTGATAAAATTCATAATAACAGTAATTATAATAATATTACCAATAGAGAGGAATAAAAACAATGATAATGTCAATGATAATGATAATGATAACAAAAAATATTAATAGAAAAAAGTGAAACTACTATTACAATATTGATAAAAAAAATCCTAAAACCTAACAATAACAATAATGCTACCACCACAAATCAACAACAATAACATAATTCATATGTACAAAGATCTGACTAACCCATGAGATTCCTTACATCTCACGTAACATTAAACCACAGCAAAATAAATGGTCATCTAAAGCATAAAGCACATTACGAAATTCAATTGGAAAATTTTGAATGGGAGCAAAAACTTCCCGACTGCTTTGAAGAAAATCACAATAAGTGAACTTAAGCTCAAGATAACTCCCCATAGCCCCTAGGAAGGAGATGCTTCTTACCTTAACTTACATAAGGCTTAAAATAACTTATATAATAATATTTGAGAATACATATTAGATAAGATTGTGCATACACAAGGCATGTACTTAAAGGGAAAATACATGCTTGGTTCAAGTCCCCATGTATGTATTCAAGTTATGTTCCAAAACCAGTGTATATCAAACTATGAATATCATGATACCACAAACAACTAGATAAGACCATTTACATATTGGCATTTCATTGAAGACACAATTGAGATGACTGAACAAACGGTAGTATGTTCAACCATCATTTCTGAGGAACAGTCTCTTCAGGCTACACTCCTCGCTACCAGTAACCTAGAGCAAAAACCTGGCCATTCCTAGCCAACAAAACTTTAACCTGAGGCCTTAAACTATACAGCTGATGTGAGTCATTGATATTAGGCAAACCGACATCATAAGATTTGGCATGTGCTTATTCATGAACTCTTCCTGCCCTGGGCATTAGTATAACAACTGGGAGACTTGACCATTCTTAAAATTACATGACAGACATGAAATGCATTTGAGACCTTCCCACCTGGAAGTGTTCACTCACTGAATGTAAACGTTCTTTAAGTCAAGAGACAGTGAAAATGTGCAAATCTTCTGAGACTCTTTGCATGGTGATATTATTTCAATATCATCAAAGTTATATTAAAAAAAGAAAATTCACGTTAGTTTACACATTTTTCCTGTCTCTGTCTTTACAATTGATTACATTCCCTTTACCTTATGACCTAATTATTATACTGTACACTTAAAGCAATTGCAAAGCAAGGCATATGACTAGCTTGGTACAACATCAGAGTGGCACTTGGCAATACTACAACTGTTCCCACAACGAATCTTACTGTTCCTGCTCCAATTTATTCTAAAAGTCAAATTTGTAAACTTCTTTAGACAATTTGTCACTAACTGTTAGCTGAAATTTGGTGATGGCATCATCCTAAAAATTTTATATAAGTATAAATGTTATTTTAATTCCTGTTAACAAAATCTTTTACAAAAGACTAGATCATACCTTTGCTCTATTTCATATAAAATCTGGATAAGATAAATAAAAAGCTCAAATACTTGATGACTAAGGACATTTGGCTGGTTTGTTAAAGTTGTGTGAGGCCCGAACCAATAAATTTTCTTTTTCGGACATACATAAAAAAAGAAGAAAAAAAAATGCACATTTATCAGTCTAGGCAGATAGCTAAATATATGTATATCTATCAGACAGATAGACGGATATGCATTTATTTCTGTGTATATGTATGCCCGTATGTGTGAATAATGATTGGGTCTGGCCTTGCACAATTTTAACCAACTGGCCGAAAAACTTTTCAACCATCTACTGGAGTATATATATATTCCAAGATGTTTCATTTCTAAATGTTCTTACTTCTTTTATAAGTGATTTGTTCAAGACACAAAATTCAGTTGCCTAAATATTCCTCAGTAATCTGGAAGACCAACATGAGACATTCTCCCGAAGGATGGAAGCTTTACAAATTTGCCCTTTAGTTAAAAAAGGTTCAGCTTATACCATACTCAAGCAATGACTTCTTAATGCTGAGGATGCATACGACACGACCAAATATAACAATCAAGGCTCTTTGACAATCACAGGGAAAAATAAAAGGTATTTCCATAGTTCCTCTTGCTCAACACTGCAGTTTCATCTCTTTAATACCTTCCGTCCTTCTATGCTATCAGTGAACTGCTCTGATATATGACAGACTTTGTACGTCTCAAGAGAAGAAACAGACACATAAAAATATATCCAAAACTGAGCCTTTCTCTCCTAAATCAACATACTTTAACCCTCTCGCACATGGCAAGTTTCAAGTAAATTTCTGCATGGTTTTTGCCTAAACCCTAGTGGGATCCTTTTGTCAAAGGTTGGGAGCCACTTACATACACAATCTCACAAATAATGGCTAACCTGCAGCTTACGTCAAATTAATATCTATTACTAATCAAAATAATGGCGCTATATGGATGAAAATCTAATTTTTGCATCAGTTGCACGAGAGGGTTAATGACTCCCCTCTAGGAAATCTAGCTACACTCTTGAAGATTAGCACAGCCAAATATCATCTGAGAAGCAGAATTATTCATAGACTATAAATTAGCATCAAAGTCTACCAAAATGTCATTCAGCCTCTTCTCATTGTTGAATTCTTTTACTTGCATCCTATGCATATGTTGTACACATCTTTTAATCACATTTTGAATATGCATCAGCCTGATATCATAATATGCACCATATTCTTGTGTTAGTATGCTAATGGGATATACACTTCAAGATGTTTGATACCTATTCCTGTTAATTTGTTTCTCTCCCATTCATCATTCTGACTTTTTAGTTTGTTTGTCTCATCTAAAGTACCTATGACATAAGATGCATGCCCCCCACCCCACACACCTCTACCTCAGTTTACGGTTTTGGAATAAGTGATATAAATCTTATTTCATTATCAAAAATACCACTTCTAAGTCCCTTCAAATAACATGTGAATTAGTGCTGGCCCAAGTAGCATCTCATTCCCATGGTCATAGGCTCTTGATGGCTGTAAGGATCTAGGCTTTGTATGTTACAACTGCATAAACCCAGGCAGGCATTTAAAAAGCACTAACCTTTACCAGTAAATACCAGTAAAAGAATTCAACAACTTTCAATTTACTAAAACCATTATCTTGACTACTACTTTAAGATATAAGGAATGTACTTTTAAAATGTTTATCATAAAATTAGGTTACTGAACCAATGGGACAACAAAAGATTTCAAACTCATTATTTTTCCATATGAAATACGAATGGTTAGTATATCTGAGTCCACTATCTCCTTTCTGACAGCAGAGAAACTGACTGCATTTAAATACTTGGACAGCTGAATATGACCTACAAATACCACAAAAAAAAGATGCCTTGCATTGTATGAATAAATAGCTTAACAATATTATTCATATATAATGAAATTTTCACTCAAGAAAGAGAAAAAATTATATAAAAAAGAAGTAGAAATCACCTTAAGAAAAATCATAATGAATGCATGAAAGCTTAGCATAAAACAACAATTACCTTCATGGGATATTCCCAGACACATTATGATCAAGTTATTGAAAACAAAATATGAGATGAAACTCAATGTCTAGAAAATGCTACGGGAGAATAATAATAAATAAATAAAAAATTACAAAAGAAGTCTTTAACCCTATATTGCACATAAATAACTTTACAGCCTTGTTTCCCTTCACTAAATCACCTAGGAATATATATGAAAATGCATATATGCATCTAAAACTTTTGATGCCAGAGTAAATGCATTTAAGAAAAAGAATCTCCCTGTTTATGGGTCTGATTTAGTGGCTAAGTTAATTTATGCACAGAAATACCTCTTTCTTTCTATTAACATATTTAAGTTAAACTGTCTGAAATTACTTTAGATATGAAACAGAACTGTATATCAATCAGAGAATTCAAAACAGAATGCAGTAGCACTAACCCCAAATGAACTGGATTACAGTGCATTACATCTGCTTAGGCAACATATAACTGCACATACATCCACGGCATCCAACATCCTGTCTCCTGTGTCTCATGTTTCTAGTGTTGTTGCATTTTCTTCCTTCAGTGCAGACACTACAGCATTCCAACAGATATATAGTATGGTATTCACACAATATCCAATCTGCTTAAATACCCGGAGAAGAATGTAATGTCGATGCTATGCAGCACTTAGCTGCATTTGGCCGACATCTCTGGCTTTCCTAGTTAAAAAGTATCTTACTATCATTTTTTTCTATGTCATTCAGTTTAGGCCTAAAAGCCAGATACTCACAAGAGGTATTCTTGCACACAAAATTCAACTTACACACTATTCTACAAAATAAATATATATATGCCAAAAAGTGGCAGAAGTTATAATATCTGGAATTGGAGAAAGTAAAGATGACTTGAAACACAAATCAACCAGGCATTTTTTTCAGTGAGAGAAAAATATATGTAACCATTGGAATGCTTCCACGAAATAAGAAAATCAATATAACTAATTAGATAACCTTTTGTCATGCATAGCGTTTACTAAAAATGTCATGTAAAGTACTCTGCTATTAAATCATGAACAATTTTTTTTCTGTTCAGGAATTCCTCATGATGCTTAAGTATACTTTATTTAACACTGCAATTCTGGTCAAATGCAAGCTAATCAGAAATCAGTAAAATGTTGAATGTAAATTATTGTTATGCAATATGCATAAAACAGCTGTCAACATTCTTGAAAATATTTGCTATTTTCAATGGAAATGCACTTTATCACTTAGATATCAGTTTTCAACTGATAATCATGGAGATTCTACAAACTCTTTTCAAGTATTTTAAGAATATAAGACTAATGAATTGAAGCTGTTAATATTACTTTTCACTATAACTAGTTCTGAATGGAAATACAGCACTTATATTCATAAATGAAGGTCTTTTACAGTTCCCTGTTTCTGTATTATTTATAAATGAACACCTTTGGCAATAATATAAAAAAGGCTCACTAAGTTATCAACAAGGTTCTCATCACATCACTTCAACTTTTTAGGCCAGGGGAAAACATCCTTTTGCCTTCCTCCACCTAAGTAGATTTGTCCCAGAACAATGACATACAAAGACCCACAATGTAATTTCCTTCACATGTGCATGAGAACTGGGGGTAAGCTAGTGTATAAACACTAGGCATTGCAAGAAACCTACCATTCTAAGATATTGAACTGCAGTGACCTAGGTCAGAAAACAACTGTGCATTTGGACTAGGTAGCTCCTGTGACATGGGATAATGGAGCTCTAGTAATCTAAACTGACACAGCTTGTGACCCAGGCTGAAGCAGTTCTATTGACCTGGACTGACACAGCTCCAATGACCTGGGGAAAACACAGCTCTGGTGATTTGAGATTCCAGCTGACATGATGGGAACTTAACACTACATGATCCTTATGAAAATATACAAAATTTTACCATATAAAACTCATACTGTAATATAAAGTAAAGACATACTTTTCTTCTCATGTAACTACTCCCATGACCAAACAAGCATAAATCTTACATTTACATACATTAGCAGCATTCACAAATATTCCAAAATTGTGTTTATGCTCTACAATGGGGCATACCTTAAATGGGATACAAGCTTTGTGATTTAGCATTCTCTACTTTAGTAATTTGGCATCTAATAACGGCATAAATTACATTATCCATCACACAGATGAATTGCTTTTATGAATCCTTTATGAAACACACAAACCTTTGTCTCTTAGTGTATCATTTACAGGTTATTTGTGTTTTTGGCTGCTGAGTGCAATGTTTTAGATTCAAAACTGCATTGTTTGGAAGCCCTATCACGGGGACAGCTGTGCAAAAGAACTTCCATAACTTTCTCCCTGAATCAGGAAACACATCTACAAGACAAAATCTTCACCTTATTCCAAATGATGAATATCTGGAAAACATTTACATACAGTAGTTCCTCTGAGATATTCTTCTCTACACCAGTGCTACAGCACTATGGGAGCTCACAGAGGGTGAGAGAAAACTTTCTTGCATGGGATCAAAATGCCGTGAGAACTGGTAGGCTGGATTCTCTATGATATGTGGCACCAGCTCGATTACTTCGCAGTCATCCCCATCTGTTAGAGTTGGAAGAGAAGATACGCTGACTAAAATAAAGGCAGAGATAATTTAAGCCACACTACATAGCTCCATATTTTGACGCAAAGCAGAATACCATACTATGAAATAAAATTCTATTAGTAAATCTAATTATACTTTTAACTGATTCTTATGAATGTTCTGGTTTCCTTCAAAGAGTTTTCTTCATAGTCATCACAAAAAATAAATAATTGATAGTAACTATAGCCAAACATACATTTAGACAATCTGAAGTTCTCTTGTTTCGAAATATGAATATTCGAAATATGAATATTCAGATATAGATATGGCTGCATAAAACATCTATCATTCTACTTGTGTGTCTTGTGCAGTTTATTAAACCTAGATAAAATACAGTACAGTATACTCTGCAGTCTGTAAGTGGCAACGAAAAAAACACCTTTTCTCCAAAACAGAAAAGCTAAAGATGATGTTAAAATGAAGAAAGGAAAGAAATTAGCAGCTATTAAATATGATAAATACAAAGAACTGAAAAACATACCTGACTTTCCGATACGCCGCTGACGCCAGTAGGCAAAGAGTAGGAAGCCTACGAGAACATGGATCACAATCACTATCACCAGCACTGCTATGATCCACACCACTGGGCTGAACTCCTCCACATCTAGCAGCAACATGCTTTCTTGTTCTGTAATAATATCAGTACCCAGATGATAAACCATTAAAACTTTAAAACATTTCCTCAGTTGAAAGGAAACATGGAAGTGTTGTTATATGAAGGCATGAAAACTGGGATAATTTTTCTGTTGTTCACTGTTAACTTCAATTTGAATATAGCAAGGACATTAATTATTAGTTCTCACAAAAAGCTTTTGTATACCAGGCACATTAAAATTTACTTCATTTCAAAGAAATCAGTCACAAATGATTTACAGATTTCTGGTACTGCAAATGCTACTTTTTCTACTAAAAGAAAATAATACACGCATATCACACTTAGGGACAGATATTACATAGACAAATATCCTGCTTGTAGTAACACAAGATTTTTTTTAAATATAAATATATATAAATCCTGGCTTGGAATGTTCTAAGTATGTCCAGTATCAGAGATTCCCCACCTACTACTTGCACAAGACATACCAGAAGTATGCTTTTACAAGGCTGAAAGTAAAGTGTACCATGGCCTGTTTAAAGACCAAGGTAATATATCCTATTCTAACTGGTGGTCAAGGTATCTGCAAAATCATAATTGATTCCTGTGTATTCTCAAGGCATGAGTGAGTACAATGTATGTATAAGCTAAATAATTAATGTCTAAAAGATCTTTGTATACAAAAAATGCAAAAAGTTCAAAATTGTAATATTGCATTTCTGGCCATTTGAGTATAAGGGGAAATCTATACACAAATCAGAAATATTTACCATTTTCATCCACATCTGGCATTGTGGCAAAATAGAATGGAACAATATCACTTTTGCCATATCTATTGCTGGACCAAAGTTCAATCGCATATGTGGTGTTGGGTATCAATCTGTAGATAGTGGTTTGACCCTGCAAAATATATTACAAATCAAAATAATCTTCAGGTAAAAAAACATGAAAAAAAATCAATTGACTCCAATTTCACATTATGCCACTTGAAACCTAAATAAGGGAAGTGAAAGATTTTTCCTCTATCCAACAAAACATCAAACACATGTAAATATTAATATGACATTCCTAGTCTATTTATGCATTAATCTATATATTTTCATATAAAAGTGCAAGTATCTCCCTCAACGTACAGCACAACACGTAACCATACCTGTGGCATAAGGTGATGAGGAACGTGCAACCAGT